TTGTGTGTTTTCTATCATGTATGTTTGTGTCAGTCTTGCTTTTTTCTTTTTTATTTTCTTCGCTTTCATGATGCTGTTGCGTTCCATGCTTGTTTTTCAATTTTCTTGGCTGCAAACATGAATGCACACCCCAATCCTTCCACGACTGGGTTAGCTGTAGTCTGCATCTCAGGGTGGACATGGCGAAGTTTACCTGTGGGTATAAAGAGAGAAAAGAGCATAAATGAATCTATGCCAACTTTGGCCAGCTTTGATTAACTTAAATTAACAAGATTTGATGTCATGAATGTAAATATGCAAAGCATGTGAGTCTATTAATTTTACAGAATGCAATGAAGCAGACACACACATATATATAACACATTTTCTGACAATGAAAATTGCGACATCATGAAGTATACATGCCGTATGAGACTTTTGCTGCCTAGGTAATTATGAATAGCCTGCGTGCCAGACCCCAGCACTTAGAACAAGGAGCTTAACTCCTTGCTTGGAATAAAGAAAGTGCTTCTTCTTTCTGAGCCTCTCGACCGGGCCTCTATACTGCCCAACACGCCACAGTTTCGGAGCTGGCTTCCTTCTTCAGTTTATCTAGACGTATAAATTAGACCCCAGCTGCAAATTCTGTGTTCCAGGCGTGAGATTTCCCTGACTGAATTGAGTATCGTGGCGCAGGGGCCTGGCACCTGGCACCGAGGCTACACTGTTTTCCCAGCAATGACATCANGGCCACACCGATTAAATTTTATGGATGACATCCTCTGAAGACCCCCAAACTAGTGCGCGCGGGCGAATAAAAAAAATTCCGGCCAAAAATAAAAATGCTACTGAACCACAGGAATACAAAGCTGGTATTGTGAATTCCCGACAGTACATAGTGACGTATACGACAAGCCGGCACATTGGCACTGGCTTTTTGTGGCATTTATGAATCGGTACTATACTTATGTACTGTCAGTTCTTGAGTCGTGGAGCTTCGAATTCGATAGCTTGGGTGCTCGGCTAAATTTTGTCGCTGACTAGCATGGACTACCCAGGCCTAGAGCCAGGTCAGAGCCTCGGTGGAGGTGATCTTTTTTTTTTTTTCTGAGGGCGACAGGCGAAAATCAATGCGCGCGGATGTCATCCATAAAATTAAGTCGGTGTGGCCTAACTATATAGAATGGAACTTGTTGCCACAAAGTACAGAGTAGGGGCCTAGGAAAAAGATGATGAACGTCTTTCCTGTTTCCCGACTGGACCCTAAAAAAATGGCTGACCGTAGACTTTTTTTGGGTGGACCCCTGCAAAGGACATAAATTTTTCAAGCTGATCAACCTTTTCTAGCTCCATGATCTGACACCTGAGTGATGAAATATTGTACAATTGGTTTTCCAACATTGACCTTGAAAATATAAGTGTCCTCAAGCAATTTTTACTTTGTTAAACTTTATTGTATGAGTTGAATCACTAGAGTAGTAGAGATTGCCAAAGTCTGAAAAAAAAGATAATCCCTACCTATAGCTACTGACTCTAATTTTTTTCAGGACTGAAACAGGAAACACATTTTTTTTTCCTAGGCCTTACTAATAATCTTTAAACAATGGCTAGGTTTTTCTGACTCATATATATCTTATTTTTTATGTTTACCGAAGGAAAAGATATTGTTTTTGCTCAGTTTCTTCCTCTTCTCCAAACAGTGACCTCTGACCTGACGAATGACATGATTTGTTGACTTCTGTCACCATGGTGACTGGTGTTGGATTACATAAAGTTGCAATTTCATGGTCTGCTTTGCTCCTCTCACCATATACTGCTACATGTAGTACATGTACTATGTGAATGTGTTTGAGTAAGAATTAACAGAGCAGACCCACGGGGTACAACCTACGTCACGGGATGGCCAGACACATTCGGTGGTGGGAAGGATCTGTCAGCCGCGACGCGCAGATCCTTTCGACGCGGGGCGGAGAAATCAGCCGCCCGCGCGGACCAATCAGCCGCATCGCGCAGTCCAATTCGATGTCACGCGGACCTATCAGCCGCGCGCGCGGATATTTCGGCCGTGGGACGGCGCTATCAGGTGTCTCCCAGCTGCTTCCAGTGAACGCTGAAACACCCACAGCAAGGTAGGTCCTCCACAATTTCCTCTTCTGGCGTTATATAGAGACAGCGACTGCTTTTCTAACTAGGCCTATCAGGTGGCGGACTATCCAAGGGTCATCCGAAGCCAGAAATAATCGGCAGGTCTTAAAATTAAATCGAGATATAGGGAGCACAGGCCAACATCGGCGACACATCATGTCCATATTATCAAGGTAAACAAACGCCAAACACGGCATTTTGGGGCCATTAGAAGTAAATAAATCCGCAGATACGACTTGTTGGCTGTAATTGGGTGTCCAGAACAGCATAACTGTACTCTGGAACCGATGTAATGGGCCTGCAGTGTGAAAACGTGAGGTGGAAGTGATACCGCTATAACGCCCCCTCCCCCATTTTAGTCATTAGGCATTACATTATATGTTAGTACCATACTAAGCTCTAACAGGCAATAGTGTCTTTGTCGTATCGGTTGATCTTGGCAATATGAAGTGAATACCTTCTGTCATTGTATTTGTAGGCATTACCTGTATGATTCAACGAACATGTCATATATTTCTTGTTTTTTAACTGGATCTTTGCAAGGTTGTTCATTATACACATAGGAAATACACAACTATGTGGCCAGTTTAATGTGTCACTGCAAATGATACACGCTGACGGGTCTGTCATATCAATTACAGAGATGCCTCGTCGACTAAGGCTAACACTCTACCCACGTAAGAGGTGTCGGCGCAAAGGCACCTTGAAGGCAGACAAAGAATCAGATATTGGAGATGGATGGGAGACAGAGGAAGAAGATGTCAGCACTGCAGTCCCTGCAAGTCCCTTTTCCCCAGACAGTAAGA